CCAGGCTGTGACCACGAACTCATAGAGATCCGCCTACATCTGCCTTCCAAGTGTTGGAGTTTGGGGTTTTTTGAGACAGTTTTTCTGTATAGCCAGCCCTCTTTGTCCTAGAACTCAGTCTAGATCAGGATGGCCTCAGACTCAAAGGTTTGTCTGCCTCTGCCTCTTGAGTGCTTGAGTTAAAGGCATATGCTATTACACCCAGCTCTCCCCCCACCCAGACAGGGTCTCTTGTAGTCCAGGCTGGCTTCAAATTACTTTAAATTTTGGATCCTTCTCTCACCACCTCCAGAGTACTGAGATTATTGGCATATTTACTACCACTGCCTGTTTACTGGTGCTGGGAATGGAACCCAGGCCTTCTTGCATGCTAAGCAAGTTCTCTACAAACAAACCAATCCCCAGACCTTTGGTTTTTATTTTTTCAAGATATATTTCATTTTTAAGTGATTATATACCTGGTTGAAACAAATTTTATACAGAAATCCTGTGGGATAATGCTCTTGTACACTGTAAAGATTTGTCACTCATATTGGTTTAATAAAACTCTGATGGTCAGTAGCCAGGCAGGAAGTATAGGCGGATGACCAGACTAGGAAAATTCTGGGGAGAGGAAATGCAGAGATGCAGTTGTCAGCCAGAAGCAAAGGAAGCACGATGAGAATGCCTTACTGAGAAAAGGTACCAAGCCTTGTGGCTAAAATTAAGAATTATGAGTTGAGCCGGGCGGTGGTGACGCACGCCTTTAATCCCAGCACTCGGGAGGCAGAGGCAGGCGGATCTCTGTGAGTTCAGGGCCAGCCTGGTCTACAAGATCTAGTGCCAGGACAGGCTCCAAAACCACAGAGAAACCCTGTCTCAAAACAACTAAAAAAAAAAAGGGGGGGGGGCCGGGCGGTGGGGGCGCACGCCTTTAATCCCAGCACTCGGGAGGCAGAGGCAGGCGGATCTCTGTGAGTTCGAGACCAGCCTGGTCTACAAGAGCTAGTTCCAGGACAGGCTCCAAAACCACAGAGAAACCCTGTCTAGAAAAACCGGAGACAGGAATAGGGTCTTTCCCTTCCAAGAACTATCTTTTATTTATTTTTTTTAAATACTTACTTATTTATTATGTATACAATATTCTGTCTGTGTGCATGTCTGCAGGCCAGAAGAGGACACCAGACCTCATTACAGATGGTTGTGAGCCACCATGTGGTTGCCGGGAATTGAACTCAGGACCTTTGGAAGAGCAGGCAGTGCTCTTAACCACTGAGCCATCTCTCCAGCCCCTATCTTTTATTTTGAAACAAGGTCTCATGTATCCCAGATTAGCTTCCATTTAATATGTGGCTGAGACCGGCCTTGGAGTGCTAGTCCTCCTGCCTCTGCTTCCCAAGGCCTATACTGTACCACACCCTATTTTAGCTTTTTGTAAATCCTCTAGACCTTGAACCCCCTGGGAAACCATCTGCTTTCCATTTATTTATTTAGCAACAATGGGGATCAAACCCAAAGCCCTGTGCATGCTAAGCAGGTGTTCTGTTGCTGAGCTGCACCTGTAGCCCTATACTTTCTTTCTGGGTAAGGCATATGAACATGAGTGGGGAGGGATGCTGTAGAGAATTGTGAAAAGAATGGATCATTAACAAGTTAGGAAAAGCAGAGGCAGGCGGATCTCTGTGAGTTAGAGGCAAGCCTGGTCTACAGGGCAAGTTCCAGGATATCTAGGGCTTACCATCCTAGCTGCATTTCCACTGTTGTGATCATGCTCTGACAAGAGTAACTTTAAGGGAAAGGGGGTTTAATCTGAGCCTGGTGGCGCACGCCTTTAATCCCAGCACTTGGGAGGCAGAGGCAGGCGGATCTCTGTGAGTTCGAGACCAGCCTGGTCTACAAGAGCTAGTTCCAGGACAGGCTCCAAAACCACAGAGAAACCCTGTCTAGAAAAACCGGAGACAGGAATAGGGTCTTTCCCTTCCAAGAACTATCTTTTATTTATTTTTTTTAAATACTTACTTATTTATTATGTATACAATATTCTGTCTGTGTGCATGTCTGCAGGCCAGAAGAGGACACCAGACCTCATTACAGATGGTTGTGAGCCACCATGTGGTTGCCGGGAATTGAACTCAGGACCTTTGGAAGAGCAGGCAGTGCTCTTAACCACTGAGCCATCTCTCCAGCCCCTATCTTTTATTTTGAAACAAGGTCTCATGTATCCCAGATTAGCTTCCATTTAATATGTGGCTGAGACCGGCCTTGGAGTGCTAGTCCTCCTGCCTCTGCTTCCCAAGGCCTATACTGTACCACACCCTATTTTAGCTTTTTGTAAATCCTCTAGACCTTGAACCCCCTGGGAAACCATCTGCTTTCCATTTATTTATTTAGCAACAATGGGGATCAAACCCAAAGCCCTGTGCATGCTAAGCAGGTGTTCTGTTGCTGAGCTGCACCTGTAGCCCTATACTTTCTTTCTGGGTAAGGCATATGAACATGAGTGGGGAGGGATGCTGTAGAGAATTGTGAAAAGAATGGATCATTAACAAGTTAGGAAAAGCAGAGGCAGGCGGATCTCTGTGAGTTAGAGGCAAGCCTGGTCTACAGGGCAAGTTCCAGGATATCTAGGGCTTACCATCCTAGCTGCATTTCCACTGTTGTGATCATGCTCTGACAAGAGTAACTTTAAGGGAAAGGGGGTTTAATCTGAGCCTGGTGGCGCACGCCTTTAATCCCAGCACTTGGGAGGCAGAGGCAGGCGGATCTCTGTGAGTTCGAGACCAGCCTGGTCTACAAGAGCTAGTTCCAGGACAGGCTCCAAAACCACAGAGAAACCCTGTCTCGAAAAACCAAAAAAAATAAATAAATAAATAAACAGTATCTACAGTCTACACTGTCAGCCCTCCCTCCACTCCAGGTGAGTCGGGCAACAACCCCCTGCTCCTGCTGAGGCCCCGGCTTGAAAGCTGCCTTTTTGTTCATTTTTTGAAGACATGGTTTTTCTGTAGCTTTGGAGCCTGTCCTGCAACTCACTCTGTAGACTGGGCTGGCCCTGAACTCACAGAGATCCGTCTGTCTCTGCCTCCGAAGTGCTAGGATTAAAGCGTGCAGCATCACTGCCCAGTGAAAGCTGCCATTTTCATTTCCTCCTTAAACTGGTCTCTCCTGCCTGTCCCAAGTGCTGGGATTACAGATGTGCACCACTCTGCTCAGCCTCCTATGACTTTGTGTGTAAGCATGCATGGCCAGCTGGTGGTTGTTTTGCTAGTTTCTGAGCTTCCTAACACACTTTCCGGCACTCATTGGCCATTTTATGGGACTTACTGTTTTGGTTTAAAACCTGTTGGTGTTGCTGTGTTAAGGACTTAGAGCATCTCATGACTGCCCAACCGCCCTGCTCCAGCTGATGGTGCATCCTGGAGAAAAGCAAGCCCATTGGATATGGCACCTGCCCTGTGCTCCACATCACTTCCCTCTCACACCCCAGAGGCTCCTCTACACCTTCAGGGCGGGCAGCCAGGGCTTTCCCATGTGCCCTTCTGGCTCGGGCCTTGAACATGTTAGTAAGCCCACGTTCTCTGTTCTGCTTTTTTTTTTTTTTTTTTTTTTTTGAGATAGGGTTTCTCTGTAGCTTTTGGAGCCTGTCTTAGAACTTGCTCTCGTAGACCAGGCTGGCCTCGAACTCACAGAGATCTGTCTGCCTCTGCCTCCCGAGTGCTGGGATTAAAGGCGTGTGCCACCACTGCCCAGTTGTTCTGCTTTTAGCACACAGGGTCTCGGTATGTAGCCCTGGCTGGCATTCCTGCCTCAGACTCTTAAAGTGCTGGATGACAGGTGTGAGTCACCATAATTGGTGATGTATCTCTATCCACAGGGTGACGAAGAAGCCCCAACCACAGGTAACACCCACAGAGGGCATTTTATGGTACCTCACTGTGGCAAACACAACCGCTCCAACCCAGCGATGCTATTTCCAGGAATTGATCCCCCAGAAACACTTGAGTACACAGAGTGGCTCCGACACAGGGGTTATTTATTGCAGTGTGGTTTGTGATATTAAAGTAGAAATACATTCCTCAATAAGGATCTTTCAGTTAACATTAGTCACCTGAAATGTGTACAATCCAGAACAAACTATACAAAAATAGACCTGGTTGATAATGGAAAGCTCTCCAGAATATACTTCCAGAGAGCCAGCAGGATATATGGACTGGTGCCATATGAATAGAAATATACCAAATTGTTTAAATATCAGAAATACTTCTAGACAGAGTGGAGGACAAATGAGACACAGTTTTATTAATTTTTGAGGCAGGATCTTGGCTACATAAAACCTTGGCTGGCCTCGAACTCACTATGTAGACCAGGCTGGACTACATTTCACAGACAGTCCTCTGCCTCCTGAGTACTGGATGACAGGCATTCACCACAGCCTAGCTTCATTGAATTCTCTTTTGTATTTGAAAAAGGCTGTCTATAAACAAATATATAAATAAAGTTACATCTTTCAGTGCATAGTCCTGGCTTGCCCCATCTTTGGCTTGTGGCACCAAATACTATCAGTGGGCCTTGCTTTTCACAGCCCTCTCACTTTGGCATCTTATACTCCTAAACCACCTTTTCAGATGGACTCTGGGCTGAGCTCCCTGCCACAAGGTGGCACTGTGCGGAGCCCACTACTCTGAAGGCCGTTCTCCCAGGGCACCTGGGTTAAGTGTTCTGGGCTGGATGGAACACACCTCTCACCCCCCCCCACCCCCCCCCCCCACACACACACCAGCATGCCTCCAAGAAATCCGGGAGCTTAGGAACTAGGACTTTACTGTGTATCCTGTCTCCCTCAACCCTCCAGATGACTTGGGGTCTCACTGAGGACGTATGCTCTGTCCCTTTTCCTGGCCCAGCTCCCTAGTCAGTCAAGCAACCCTCTTGGTCACTAGAAACTGAGCATTAGGGCTCTGAAGAGGGTAGTCAAAGGGACAGTGACAGCCATAAGGGCCACAAATTCCATTCACATGAGCTGTCGCCACCCACCCTCACCCACCCATTGCCTCACTGAGCTGGCGAGTACTTGCAGCCAGAACACCAGACATAAGACTTTGTTCTGCCAACATTTGCTCTAAATGTCAGGAGGGTGACAATGAGCTGGAACAGAGCACTGGGCTCTGCACCTTTGCTCTACAACCCGCTTAGCCCTCCAGGCTTGGCTGTGTGCCCCATCCTCCCTTCAGTGGTCTTAGTCACTGGCAAGCCAGTCAGTATCTGGGGCCACAGGGCTCGAGGGGTACTGGGCCAAATAAGGACAGTAAAAAACACAAGCTGAGGCACAAGGGAGATGGGCTCCAACAATTTTCTTGGGTGTTGAGCTGGATTTTGGTAGTGACCCCAGGCCTGACTTGGAGTGAATGAACACTAAAGAGACGCACATCCATCTTCCCCAACAAAGCCAATGCTTCACAATACTGTTCAACAGGCCCGTCATGGAACACTGCAGTAGACACGGCCAGGGTGCAGATCCCAGAAACCACAAACAAGATCCTACTTGGGGCAAGGCTGCCCCAGACAGGTCCCTTTGTTCATAATTCCCCTGCATGATCCACAAGATGCCAAATACAGCAGATGTCTCAATCTACAAAACTGAATGAGGGCTGCTGTGGGCAGGGACCAGGAAGATCCAGGCCCAAGATGGCTGTTAGACCACTGGCTTGTGTCACCCAAGTCTAGACTCCACCAAGCACCAGCAGCTGCTCTTCCACGGCACACACCTGAGGCCAACTGAGTATTTAGAGAAAAGTGTCCCGCAGGAAAGAGTGAGAGGAGAAGAAAGAGAAGGGGCAGAAGGTGGGAGCTCAGTGCCTCCACTTCAGAGGGACTAACAGGATAAAACCAACCAGCTTTAATACCAATATAATTCTCTCTTAAATACATGTTGCCCCGGATAGAACCTGGGGCAGGCTCTTGGAAGAAAGAATAGAAAGGAAAAGAGAAAATGGAATGGATCGGCCAGGCAGCCCCAGCCCGCCCAGGGCCTCCTGTCCTGGGAGACAACACTGCAGGGAGGGAGGTGGTCGCAGCTTCCTCTGGTCCAGTTATTGCTGAGGGGGGTGGGCTACCTCCCCTCCCTGCCCCCAAACACTTCTCAGAGTCAGGTCTGCCCTCTGGGGCCCTACAGAGGCTGGAGGGGACAGCTCAGTAGCTGCTCTGGTGGCCTGTGAGGATGTAGAGGTTGCTGTGTGCCCCAGGGTTGTCAGTGGGAATGCTCTCCAGGATGATGTCCCTGGTGTAGGAAGAGGCACAGGGTGAGCGGGGCAGGAAAGCCAAGTGAGCCCATCCCCACCTCCAGCCTGGAGGTGGTAACTGTCATGGGAAGTGCAGTTCAGGTACTATCTTCATCTACCTGTGGGCTCCCAGCACTCGGAAGATCCTGGTCTCATCTGTGATCTCCTGGGTCACCTAGAAGACAAGGAACTCTGAGACCATCCTGACAGGTCCTTTCTAAACAGGGCTCTCGGAGCTGGAGGCGGTCAGGTCTCTGAGCCCCACTCACCTCGTTGGTGTCAAGGCTTCGGCCCTGCATGCCATGGCTCCAGAAAGCCAGCACACTGTCCTGCAGACACACTGGAAGAATGGGCTCTGTTGGCCCCGACACTACCCCACACTCCACAGATTCCCCCATCCTTGCCATAAGGCCTGACCCAGTCCAATGCACAAGGGTCCGCACTGACCCTGAGTGACCAGGATGGCTCCCCGATAGGTGTAGGGAATCTACCCTGGTCCCACGGCCAACCCTGAACCCTGAGCCAGTCCCACACCTTCTGAACTGTGGATGCTGCCAGGCCCACATCTGCCTTACTCACCCACAGTCTCAATAGGGAAGTCAAAGGTGAGCTGAGGGGCCAGTGCAGCTGTGGGCTCACCCTGCAGGTTAACGATCCTCACACAGCCTGCACAGGGAGAGAACTGGTAGGTGGGGGACCCCCTTCCTCACATTGAAAGGACCTCAAAATCAGCAAAAGATACCCCAAGATCAAGTTCTCAGCACAAAGGAGACAAATGGCAGGGTCAAAGGGTAGAGAATAAGAGACAAAGACAAGAGATAGAAGACGAGAGATTAGGGGAAAGGAACAAGGCCAGGGCGGGGTGGTGGTGAGCTATTTCTCCCAGGGAGACAAAGGCCTGCCTCTGGATAGAGAGGAGACAGACTTGGCCTATAGGCAAATGGCATTTTATAAAGGGAAAGGAGAAACCATGTTAGGAAGAGTTGGTTACTCTTGATTGGACATGTTAATTAGGGCAATCAAAAGGGGGCTTCTGACTGCTGGACTTCCATGATAGCTGCGCCTTGGTGGTCAGCCTCAGGAGGAAGTAGCCCAATAAAGGAACAGACCTCGGTGGCTAGCTTTAGGAACGCAATCTAATGGTTTACCAAAGTAGAGGGAATGGGGGAGAGGGGGAAGGCAAAACTTGTCACTCCATGTTTGCCATGCTCTGGCCTGCTAGAGCCCCCCAACCCTGATCCCAGGCACTCACGTTCAAAGCTGACCAGTACTGTGTCCCTGTCCACCTGGATCACCTGCTGGGCGGAGCCCGGTATCCCCTCTGTGGGCAGAGAAGAGAGGCAAGGCCTGTCTGGTTGAGCTGCCAAGGACTGAGGGGACACGCAGCAGACAGTCCTAAGCCACCAGTCTTCTTCACAACAGCCCTACAGGGCCATACTCAGAACAAGGGACTTGCCTTTAGGCTTATCAGGAGCGAGGATGGGGTTCCAGGATCCTAGCAGAGCCTACGAAGGATCTGGGGTCAGACAAACTAGGCTGTCAGACTCCGTAAATATGTGACCTAACACAAGTCACTTCCTCTCTGAACTTCATTTTCCTCTTTGGTAACTCAAACATGACAAAGCCTATTTTCAGCGCTGTTGTTAAGAATTACGACCGAGGGGGCTGGGGAGATGGCTCAGTGGTTAAGGCACTGGCTGCTCTTCCCGAGGATGCAGGTTTGATTCCCATCACCTACATAGTGGCTCACAACCCTCTGGAACTCCTAGTCACCCTTGTCTGACCTCTAAGGCATGGATGTGGTATATATACATACATACATACATGAACACAAAGAATTCGTATTCATAAGTAAAATAAATTTTAAAAATATTTTTAAAGCAACAGAAAGGGGCTGGAGAGATGGCTCAGAAGTCAAGAGCACTGATTGCTTGCTCTTCCTGAGGTCCCGAGTTCAATTCCCAGCAACCACAAAGTGGCTCACAACTATCTATAGTGAAATCTGATGCCCTCTTCTGGCATGTAGGCAAACATGCAGACAACAGAACACTATACATAGTAAATAAATCTAAAAAAAAAAAAAAAAGCAAGCCGGGTGTGGTGGTGCACACTTTTAATCCCAGCACTTGGAAGGCAAAGGCAAGCGGATCTCTGTGAGTTCGAGACCAGCCTGGTCTAGAGAGCAAGTGCCAGGACAGGTTCCAAAGCTACAGAGAAAACTTGTCTCAAAAAACAAAAGCAAAGAAGCAGAAAATTTAGGAATGAATCACCTGAGGGGCTCCTGGCACCAGGAACTTTTCCTTCCCTGCCCATTGCCCCAGATGTCCCTATGCTGAGATATCATCCTTCCCTGCTCAGAGTGGAAGAGTCCCCACCTGGCCAGAGCCCCTCTTCCTGCTTCTGGCTCAGGTTTAAGCACTGGTAGCCAGCTTTTCCTTGGCTACCAAGCTTTTAATCTAAGGAAACCTTTTGATTTAGTTTGGTCTGTCTTTTTTATTATTAATTTATTTTTATTTTATGTGCATTGGTGTTTTGCCTGCATGTATGCCTGTGTGAGGGTGTCAGATCTTGGGAGTTGTAGACAGTTGTGAGCTGCCACGTGGGTGCTGAGAATTGTGCCCAGGCTAGTCTAATGAAATCTTTCACAGAAGCCCAGATCAGAGAGTATGGTTATAAGAGTCCCATCCCTGCAACACCCAGCTCTGCTGCTCACCAGGCGGGATGAGGATGTCTGGAGTCAGGCCAGCCTCCAGGGGCAAGACATGGAACAGGACTCGGCAGCCAGGTCCCTCAGGCCCCTCGGCACCCACGCACACCTGTGGCAGCTCCTTCCCGTCTAGCACCAGCGGCTCCAGCATCCCTGCCGGGCTGGGCAAAGGGCTGGAAAAGTTCTGGGGGACAGCAGAGAGGCTAGGCTCTGTTTCTCCTGCAGGCATCCTGCCACCCAAGGGCCCTCTGGTCGCCTACCTTCAGCAGCAGGAATTTCTGCAGGGGCTCATACCACTGCAGCAGAAGCAGGCTGGCAGGCAGGGCAGCCAGCAGGAAAGTGCTGCCTGTATAGGGGTTACGGACTGCGGGAGAAGGAGGCTGGTAGGCAAGAGCTCGGACTCACTGCACCCCTCCCAGCCCTGTGGCCAGCTCTTACCCACACGACACTGCAGGCAGCCTTTGGTGTCAGGAATCTTGGTGGACAGGGCAAAGCGCCTATAGAAGTGAAAACCAGCATATGTTCTGGGAGCCAACCATGGGCAAGGCCCCCACTGAGCCCTGTGAGGTAGGTGGTCACTGTCATCATCCTGCTTCACAGATGAGACGCTAGGCTCAGAAAGGTGCAGCAGTGTGCTTGTAAGAGCTGCAAGGGACTGAGGCTCTGGAAACCTCTTTAGCTACTCTGGGAAGGGTTTTGTTTTTTTTAAAGATTACTTTCTTAGCTGGGCAGAGGCAGAAGCAGGTGGATCTCTGTTCAAGGCCAGCATGGTCTACAGAGCGAGTTCCAGGACAGTCATGGCTGTTACACAAAGAAACCTGTCTTGAAAAACCAAACACACAACCACCACCACCAACAACAAAAAAATTTGTCACAATTTTTTTTTTCTTTTTGGTTTTTGGAGACAGGTTTTTGTATAGCTTTGGCTGTCCTGGAACTCACTCTGTAGTCCAGGCTGGCCTCTGCCTTCTGAGTGCTGGGATTAAAGACATGTGCCACCACTGCCCAGCATGGCTCTGCGTGGTTTTAAACAAGTCACTTTACCTCTCTCTGCACCTGTTTCCTCACGGCCATGTAAAGTGGGAAGCAGGAAGACCCAAAGCTGAGGCAGGTCCCCGCTTGAATATACTCAACCCTTTTCAAAGACTGACGAACAAAAACTGACGGGGAAGTGTATACTTCAAACAGCAAATGGCCTGCCTTCTGCACCTGCTGGGGCCGAGGGACCTAGGGGGCCAGTGGGTGGCTGTCTTTGGGGGAATCCCCCATGCCCTCAGGGGACTGACCATCTGAGACTGAGGAACTAAGCTGTTAACAGGGCAATCTCCTCCCAGTGACTCCGGTTCTGTCTGTGCGCCTGCCAGGACAGGCCCCTGGGAGGAAGCAGTGTCGGCCTCTCTGCACTGCCCTCTGCCCTCCTCTTCCTCCCCCTCGCTCACCAGCTAGCATCTGGGTAGGTCAGGGGCATATACTTTTGCGTCCCATGTTTCCTCTAAAGAATTTCATTTCTTCCTTCTTTACGTTCAAAGTAGACACAGGCTCAATGCTGCCCAACTTGCCAGGTCTCTGGCAAATCTGTCGCCTAAGGTTGGGGTCAGAATGGAGGCTCAGGAAGCCCAGAGGCCACAGGGAACCACACATAGGTTTAATGTGAGCTCTGTAGCTAAGGTTCTCCTCTAGGTCTCCCCAATAATGCTGCCCCTGGCCTGGCATGGCCTGGTCATAGTGACACTGGAGCCCCTGCCTGGCCCACTCTTGGCATTCCAGTTCTCCCAGATGGACTAGGGAGGTCCCACTCAGAGAATAGGCAAGCGTCTTTTGAAATGCAAGTTTTAAGACCAGGTCTCACACTGTAGCATCAAATCTCAGTAATCCTCCTGACTCAACTTCTTGAATGCTGGGATGACAGGCATATTATTTATTTAATGTGGCAAATGTGAATTCAGGCCAGGCTCTTACGTCACTCACAGCTGATGACAGCTCCATCCTTCCGTCAGCCTTGACTCCCCTTCCCTTCCCAACACCACCTAGTACCAGGAAATCCTGCTGACTCCACTTGCAAAACAGAACCAGACCAATTTTTACTTTCTTTACTCCAACTGCAGCCCATGCCTCTGTTGCTAGCCACCTGACCACTGCAATGGGCTTCCCACGGCCTCCAACATCCTCCCTCATCCGTTAGTCCTCCCACCAAGACTCAGTGCCAGGCATGCCTTACCAGCGGCCTCCACCCTGCTGTGAGGCAAAGCCCAAGGCTTCCCTGCAGACAGACCCTCAAGCAAGCCATTCTCACTTCTGCACTCGGCCCTCGCACTGAGCATCTTTTCTCATTGGTAACTTCCCCTGCACACCCATAGCGCTCTAACTCCCCTGGAGACAGCCTTTCTCTGTGTAGCCCTGGCTGGCCTGGGTCTCTGTAGACCAGGCTGGCCTCGAACTCAGATATCTGCCTGCTTGTCTCCTGAGTACTGGAATTAAAGGCATGTACCACCAAGCCCGGCCTTTTTTATCTACTTTTTTAAATATTTACTTATTATGTATACAATACTCTGTCTGTGTGTATGCCTGCAGGCTAGAAGAGGGCACCAGACCCCTCTCTATGTGGTTGCTGGGAATTGAACTCAGGACCTTTGGAAGAGCAGGCAATGCTCTTAACCTCTGAGCCATCTCTCCAGCCCCTTTTATCTACTTTTTAAAAGTGGTGCTAGCACGTGCCTTTGATCGCAGGACTTTACCAGTGAGCTGCAGCTTCCTCAGTCTTGGCTCAAACAGCATTTTCTCACTGAAGGCTCTCAGAACGGCCCTTGAAAGTCGTCTCCTTCATTTTGCTCTTCCCCATGGGAAGAGCCATCACTGCCAAAGAGCCTCATTTTTCTAGATCTACCATCTACCTCCTCTCCACAAAAAAACGTGGCATAAAGAGAAGGGGGAAGGGTCTCTTCAGTTCACAGATGTGCCTGAGCCCTGCACAATGTCACAACATATGAGAAGGCACTGGCTCCATAGTTAGTGGCTAAAGGGCTGCACCTCAGGCTGCACATTAATGCTGGGTCACTTATCTTCTGCAGGGGGCTCTGCCGCCTGTTCCCAGACCTGGCCATGCTGCTCCTCAAATACTCTTTCTACTGTAGCCCTCTATACGGCCAGTGATTCTGTTTTCAGAGACAGAAACTCAAATAGCTCAGGCTGGCCTCAAACTCAGTATCCGTAGACAAGGATAACCATGAATTCCTGGTTCTCCTGCCCCTACCAGCCTTGTGCTGAAATTACAGCCATGCACCTGCATGCCCAGCTGTGTTTTGTTTTTGGGACAAAGTCTCCCAATGTGCCCTGGCTGGCCTAAAACTTGCTATCTTCCTGTGACCGCTGGGATGTCAGGCATGAGCCACCACACCAGCCCGGCTCTTAAACAGTGGGCTGAACCACCTCCAGCAGGAAGCATACTGACCAGTGCACAATAGGATCCTTTGAAACGCTCAACAGCACTGCCAGCCATTGGACAGAGCCCAGATCCTAGGCTTGGCAGCAGAGTAAGGGTTCACCACCTGTGCGGGGCCCTCAGCCCTCAGGTCAATTACCACCATGGGGGTTCCCCAGGTCTTGCTTTGTGGTTCCACCTGCATACTCTCCCTTGCCCTCACACACTGGAATGTACTCTCTAATTCCGAGCTGTCTCAGCCTCCTGGCTTCCAGAACACTCTCTCCAACCCTGCCCCTGCCCTGAATCAAGGAGTCTGCCATAAATGCCCATGTCCTTTGCTTCTCCAGAGCAGGGCTTCTGTTGAGTCATGTGCGGGCCTGACACAGGGCCCACTGAACTGCTGGGTGAAGCCCACTGCCCCACTGACTACAGAGGGCTTTCATGCTCACATTCCTCTGCATTTCAACAAGCCAGGAGGACAGGAGGAGAGGCCATTTACTGACCAGGAGGAAACCGCCTCAGGGACGGAAAGTGCCTAGGTAATTAGCTAAGATCCTGGCAGTCTCAGGAGTGGCCAGAGCCCCACCCAATTGGTACTATTCTGGACCTCCACACGCCACACTTGCTGACCTGGGGATGATGCGCTGAGTGATACGGTTGGTAGGGATAGAGAGGGGTGCCTGGTGCTGCAGTCTCCGCTGCTCAAACAGGCCTGGGAGGTCATGTGCCCAGATATGCGTGGATTTCCCTGAAACAGAAGGGGAAGATCACGCAGGGCTCAGAGGAAGTTTGGGGGAGGGTGCACTGGCTGCCTCTGCACCCTCCTCCTCCTACCTGAGAGTGACAGCAATACGTTGTTCACACAGTAGAGCCAGGAGCAGCGCTGGGAGATGAGCTGGGGCCAAACAGTAGACAGGTGATCAGCACCCAGCACCCCTGTACCTCTGTGCCCCCAAAGCCAAGAGTCCTCACCTTCTCCAGTGTATCCTCATGCAGTTCATGCAGGTTGAGAGTGTAGATGCCTTCCTCGGCCCCTACTACCAGGAACTGGTCTGCAGGCGTGGGTATGGGGTCAGAGGCTGCCACATCCCCTGGCCCAAACCTAAGGGTGTCCTAGGCCCCGGCCCACCCACCTCGAGTCACGGGGTGCACCCAAGTGACAGCAGCATGGATCTGCAGGGGGCAGCCATTGAAGACCTTGGAGAAGCAGGCACCCATCTGGGGAGGAAGCAAGTAGCTGGTGAGGTACCAGTGGGAACGTCAGGACAGCAGGGTCTAGGGACGCCCCGTGAACACTTACATGCACTTTGGGGGTGGGAGGAAGGCCATGACAGGATGATCTCTGTGTAGGAGGGAAGGAGTCAGGGCCTAGGTAACACCCTACAGCCTACCTCTCGCCCCTCTGGTATCCTCACCTCAGGATCCTCTTGTTGCTTCAGGGTGGCCCAGGCAGTGGGCAGCAATGGTGGGCTGCCAGGACCAGGCGGAGGTGCAGATGGGGTTCCTGTGCACACAGACCATAGTGACTCCAAGCCCCAGCCCTACCCAGAATTCCTTCTGGCCTGCCAAGCCTGGGCCTCACCTGGGGAGCGGGACTGGGCATTGTCATCAGGTGTTGGCTCAGTATGGGGCAGCCCCAAAAACGGGGCCCGTTTGATGGTTCCCATGGCGTCATCTGGGGAGTCCAGCTCCTGGCAAGAGGATCAGAAATAGCTTGGCCATCAGCAGGTGCCCTGTGATGCACTCTCTGCCCCAAAGCACCCTGTGCACAAGGCTTACTTCCCAGTTCCACCCTCTTCCAATCCACACCTGGAGTTCTAAGGCGGGTCGAATAGTCAGGCTCCTGCAGGGAGACAGCAGATGGTATGATGGGGTGTAAGATGAGACTGACCCCCAGGCCTGGGAGGCCTTCTGCATCCTAGGTACGGGCCTCTCACCTTTCCTCCAAGGCCTCCTGGACCGACTGCAGGAGGCTCCTGGGCCAGAGAAAGGGGTCAATGGTCAGTCTTACATAAGACCCAACCTGCCCCACAGCTTCCCCAGTCCTGCTCACTCACCCACTCAGTTCCTCTTTTCCCAGCAGCGTCCATTCCTCCTCCCACTGGAAGAAACCAAGGCAAAGACATCAGGAGAGAGGGGAAGAAAAAGAGAAGGGTATCACAAGATGGCAGGGAATAGCCAGGAATGATCTGGAACACAAGGCTTACCTAGACTACAAAGAGAGTTCAAGGCCAGCTAGGGTAAGTTAGATAGAGATCCTGTCTCAACAGTAACAGAGAGAGAGAGAGATAGCAAGAGAGAGCAGATAGACAGACAGACGGAGAATATTCTGGCAACAGACAAAAGACTAGTAACAGACAAAATGACAAGACGGAGAGGGAGACAGTAAGACAGTGGCGCAGAGAGGAGCACTGTGGGATTGGAGAGGAAGAGTAGAGGAAATGGCATGATCCCCTAACAGGCAGGCTGAGCAATATTCTCAGTCCTGGGAAACCTAGGCTTTCGAAGTGGGTGGCCTTCCACTTTCCAGTGTTGTCTTAAGGAAAATGGCCTCCAGTCCAGGCCCCCAGCTTCAGACTGGCCCTGACTTGGGATGTCCCACCTGCATCTGCACACCTGACCCCACCCTACACCACCCCCTCCACATAGCCAGTGAGTGCCTCACCGGTTCATTGAGAGGATCCGTCTCCTTCCGGCGAGGGGCGCCAAATTTCACTTGGTGAACTAGGGATCCAGAGTATTGGGTTAGGAGGGGTAAAATATGGACCCCCAAAATAACACCAGATCCATGGGTGCATTTAGCTAGCCCTGTCAGAAGACTTACACTGGATCTCGGAGGGGGTCCTCTCAGCTGGACCATGATGGCCCCGGGAATGGATGGTATCTGGAAACATATCCTGGGTCTAAGAAAGAACACACACAGCAGACTTGCACCTAGTACTCAGCCCTGCCAGGAACTCTTCCAGGTCTTGACAACCCTCTAAGGTTACTATGAAATAAAACAGCCCTCATTTTACAGATGGGAGAACTGGCACAGAAACGTCAAGAAACTTGCCAAAGGCCACACAGAGAGGAAGATAGCTTAGTCATAGTCAAGGCTGGCTTGGACCCGAAGGCATGCAGTGAGGCCAGACCCGCTCAAGAGAGTCATGGTATGTGGGCCTGACTAGAGTCTCTGCGCTGGAATCCACAAGTCAGAGAGATTCTGATTTACATCACCTGCAGGCCCCTGCCACCCAGGTGGGGCTGACCCAGCTCCCAGTCCTTGCGTTACCTCCAGTTCACAGTCTTCAGGGGAGAGGGTTCCCAGGTGGGGGTCGCTGGCCTTGTCGAGGAGCTGTGTAAGGAGGGCCCGAGGGAGCTGCTGGGTTGTGAATGGGTGCTGGAGGAGCAAGGGTTGATCAAGTTTGCCCCTGCCTTCTAGGTCTTTCCTTTGAGCCTCAAGCTCCCGGGGCCATCCCCTGCCTCCCACCTGCAGAAGCTTCTCAGCTGTGGGCCTCTTCTTGGGGTTCTTGGTTAGGGCCAGCTTGAGGAAGTGGTGGAAATTCTGGGTCCTAGTGGGCACAAAAGTCCCGCCCACCGAGACCCAGGTTAAGCTCTGCACAGAAGCAGCCTGTGAGTTGCCCCAGCCAGGCAGCTGGGACAGTGATACTGTTGCACCATAGCAATGCCTCCATCACAAGCCACCAGCCCCTCCCTCCACGGAGTTCTGGCCCTAGAGGGGAACCAAGCCTGACCCTTGGCAAGAGCTCCCATCCCTGGGCTTTGGCTGGAAAAGAGTATCGGCTGTGGGTGAGCCCTCACCAACGTGTCTTGTCTCTCAGCTTGGGTGGTTGGAAGCTGCTCTTCGACATGAGCATCAAGGCCCTAGGGAGTATGTGAGGTCATGGGTCAAGGGTTGGCAGGGCAAGGGTCAGGTAAGGGGCATGTGCTAGGCTGACCTCATGGGGTGCAGGTGGAACAGCGGTGGCTGTAGCTCGCCCAGCTCAATGGCAGTGATGCCCAGGGCCCAGACGTCACACAGCTCATTGTAGCCACCTTTGCGTTCCACAGCAGCGACCTCTGGTGCCATCCTAGAGTCAGGATCACAGATGGGATGACCAGAGCCCTACTTGTGGCCCCTACCCCTACGGGCCAGGGCACCATCTTACCAGTACGGAGTGCCAATGAAAGACCGCCTCTTAGCCACAGACGCTGTCAGCTCACCTGATACCCCAAAGTCCGCTGCAGGAAGAACAGACTCTTACCAGCCCCAGGGCCGCACTTACCTCCCACCCCAGCGCGCAGGCTATACCAGGCAGGGCTTGGGTCCAGCCACAGCTGTCCCAAGCAAGGCCAGGCCCTTCTTCTGAGAGGAGCCACCAACCTTCCATCTCTGAAAACCTGATCCCATGTCAGGTCCCTCCCAACCTAATCTCGGTCAACTATTGGCAGGCAGGTAATATTGCTACATCTCCTAAGTGGGGAAACTGAGGCTCGAGTAGTAAGGTGATTGGGATCCATGGTCTCTGAGTCCCTGCTAAACCCTCACCCACATGGCATCCCCAGGGACTGACCCAGCTTGACATCTCCCTGCAGAGTGAGCAGAAGGTTGGCACCCTAGGAGGACAAAGAAAGGATTCCATCAGGTGCCTGGCAGCTTCCTCCTCACTTGAACCATGCCCTAGGCTGACCCCTACCTTGATGTCTCGGTGAATTTTGCCTTGAGAATGCAGGTGGTGGAGCCCCTGGGGACAAAGAGGAGTCTTTAAGGACAGCTACTTAGCACTAATCACCTCCCCTGAGCCCCTCCTCAGGACTGGGGCCCCCCACCCAAGCCGCTTCCTCCTCCCCTCTCCCCAAACAGGAAGTGACTGAGCCAAGAGGGAAATAGGCTGCTTCCGGCAAAAGAAGTGGGGGCCCCCTCCCCCTTAGGACCCACAGCCCATTCCAAGTTCCCACTCCCCCACTAGCCAGCTGGGTTAGGCCCACACTCCAGAGGATTCCAACGCGGGTGCTGCCTAAGAGTCCAGTACCTTCAGTGCCTCCCGGCAAACATAGGCTATCTGCCGTTCTTCCAGGGGCCCAGTAGCTGAAATGGACAGTGTGAGGGCTGGAGAGAGAGCCTGAGGGATATGGTGACCCTCCCTAGCCACCCTGCGTAGTGGGAAGCAGCAAGCACCACTACAAAAGTGATGTTAGCCACACCACGCTGGGATACTGAGCCCAGAGAAGGACAGCATCTCTCTCAAGGTCACACAGCCAATCAGAAGCAGAGAAGAGCCCAAATTCAGTCTGGAGGATGCTCTCCTGTCCCTTTGTTGGGATGGGGTAAGGCCATGTCCCACGGAGCCTGACTCTCACCGTGGTAAATCTCCTGCAGCGAACCCCCTCCACAGAACTCCATACAGATCCACAACCGGTCATTCCTGGGGGGACAAAGAGCTAGGTCTGGAACACAGCAGAGCACACGAGGGCAGTCTGGAGTAAGAGGGCAAACAACCTCACCTGAGGTAGCTGCCAATATAGGCCACGACATTAGGGTGGCGGCATTCGCGAAGGATGGTGATTTCCTGCTGAAGAGAGCTGATGTCGTCCCCTGGGGAGCACAAGGCATTATGGGGGGGCACACAGGGGTAGCCCAGACTCTGCCCCTATGTGCAAACTGGGCACAGAGTGTTTCTCCGCTCGCCTGGCAGGTGCCAGCTCTTAGTCTCTCCTAGGGTCGGCCTCTCTGGGGGTCTCGGAAATGTCAACTCTCCGCCCCCGACAGCTCACGCGCCCGCACCCGCCTCCCAGGAGCAGAGGCCCCACCCGGGCCCACACCTGGGTCTAGCTTGACGATCTTCACCGCGGCCAGTTCGGACGTGACGGTGTCACGGGCCTGCGGGGCGCAGGGCAAGAAGCGGGGTGAGGAGGGGGCGGGGCCGGGGCTCCTGCGGCGGGACGCGCAGATGCACCCTCCTCCTGCGCTCCCGCCCGTCCTGCCGCCCCGCACAGCGCACCTTGTAAACGTCGCCATAGGTCCCGGCCCCCACACGCTGCAGCAGCTCAAAGCGATCTCGCGGATCCTGCAGCGATACGTCCCGCAACAGCGCCATGGCCCGGCGCCGGCCGGCGCAAGCTGCGGAGCCGGCGCGGAGCGGCGCGGGGCGGGGCGGGAGAGGCGGGAGGGCAGGCCGGGGCAGCACCGAGGCTCGGAGGCCGGAGGGGCGGGGCTAGGCTAGGGCGGGGCCAGACCGGGGATGCCCCTCCGCCCCGCTAGGCCAGGAGGAGGCGCCCTGGCTGCGTGGGGGAAGTCCCCTAGCTATAGGCGGGGCTTAGACACCACCCCCCCCCCCCCCCCCCGCTCCGTTCTCGACGCGTTACAGGTGCATAAAGTTCAAACTCCAAAGGCAGAGAAAAGCGTACGTCTACTCCCTGCCCCATCCCCGACTTCCAGATGAAACACGGACATTTCTTTTCTTTTTTTTTTTAACAAAATGTATTTATCTTCCTTGAACTAAAAAATAAATCTATGTACAAAACAGGAAGAGACTGGCCCTCCCCCACCCCGTGCAGATTTCCTCCAGGGACCTCGGGGAGGTTCCCAGAGGGTTGGAAGAGGTCCTGCTCTGTTCTGGGGCCAGTTTGGTCAGGAAGGGGGCGAGGCTCAGTATTCACAGACAAGAGTCGAAGCTCCGTGTCCTGGACTCTGGGGTTAGGGAGGCGAGGAAGCGAAGATTTCCAAATTCAGGCAGCAATATGAAAGTTCTTTGGGATAGGAAACTAGATTCCCAAAGGATGGAACTCTGAAGTGCGGAAATCTACCCCTAGGGACTGAATGGAGTCCTGGGTCTCGGGTTTCCAGGTAGCATCTGTATTCCTGGGCTAAGGTCACCCTCAGCTTCCAAGTGGGAGGAATGCCGAACTGCTTGGGCTCAAGTAGGGTTCCCGTCACGGGTCAATGAATTTCGGGGGGTTGGACCTTTAAAGACTGGTCACATGGACCTACAATGAGGTTCCAATTGGCCGGCTGGTGAGAGATGAAACCTATTCTAGAACCGAGCCACAGCCTGAAGGAGCCAACTCAAGGTTCCCCATCACTACAGGGCAGCTCTGGGCCCCCTGGGACGGTGGGCAGAGTCTGGGCTTGAATTGGGGAACTAGGGTGCAGCCTGCTGGGAGTGAGGGCAGGGCCTGGGGCCGGGTCAGGGAATCCCCAACAGTTCAGAGGCCCTTGCGCTGCCGCTTAAGGAAAGAAAGTGTGTAGTCGCTGGGTGTGGACACTTTCTGTTTCTTCATCTGCACTTGGGACTGTGCGGTGAGCTGCAGCTTGATGGCACTCGAGTTGATCTTGGTGGCCACCAATAGCTCCTTCATGCCTTTCATCTTCTCACTCTGGAAAGTAAGCACTGGGCCCTCCGGTGGTGGCGATGCTGCTGGTGCTGGAGCCTGAGCAGCACTGCTGACTTCGGGGCCACGGGCAGTACCTGGGACAATCCCTGGCGTTTTCCGGGGTGGTCCTGAGCCTGCACTTTGCCCAGAGCCCGGGCCCTTGTCCAACGCAGGCTTCTTGGGTGGAGGTGGCTCCTCGGGTTTGGACTCCCGGCGAGGACCGCGCCGCCGGCCTTCTCGGGATTCATCCCCCCATGGTTCTTCAGCCTCTGCCGCCTCTGCTTCACGGCTAACTATGTGCACCTTCTGCCGCACCTAAGCAAGAGTGCAAGTCAAGGGAAAGGTTGTGGGTCACCAGTGGGAAGTCCAGGCTCAGCCCCTGGCTACCCCTCCAGGAGTCCCCTTTCATGGCTACTCACACAAAGAGGCACACGCAATAGTCTCACTTCCCCATGGCTACTGTCACCACCTGTAGTTCCTAGCCCCTGCACAAGGGCCTCTCACCTGTCCCTCGAAGCGGCCGAGGGACTGCACAAGGAAAGTGGCCCAGCCTACATGCAGTACTGGTGTGGGGCTGCCCTCCTCCCATTTGCAGATACCATCATAGAATCGCAGCAGGTGGGCAAAGCACTCTGGGTCCTGGAGGGCAGAACCTTGGCTCTGGGTGCCCTGGACAAGAGGGACAATAGGGAAGAGTTCAGACAGTGTCCAGCCAGGCTCCATCTGGGCAAAGCCCTGGTTTCAGTTAAGGCAAACGCAGGTCAGGACCTCCTTCCTTTTAACAGCTCTTGGTACGCATGCGGGGAGAAGGAGTATACCTTTCCTTGCCTACAGCCTGGCGCAGGTGAGAACCAGGCCAAAGAGATGGACAGCAACCCATTTACCTGAAGACTTCAGCTCTAAAACACCCTCAAGTCCCTCCTAATACAAGCCCAAGATATGAGCTCCAGCAGAAGAGAATCCCCACGCATTCCAATATGCCCAGGAGAAGGGTGACCAATGAAGTCCTGCCCTGCACCTGGGCTTGCTCCCCTGGCCGCTCCTCCCCTGCTTCTAGCAGGCTGGCTGCCTCCTTCAGCAGATTGGGGATGACATCATTGGCCACTTCAAAGAATTCCTTGTAGATCTCCTCATCCTCCCGGCAGTAGTTGTAGCTGTGAAAACATGTAGGATTCGGGCTGATGGTACCCCCACAATGGGACATCCCACTGACTAGGTGAGAGGCTGGGGGTCCTTGCTCGTCTAGATGATGGTGACTATGTTAGTTCAAGGTAAGATTAAGGATGGGATGTGGGGCTGAACTAGAAATTGGGCAGAGACAGTGGCACCACAGACAAGGGAACTGACTAGAGAACAGAAGAAACTGAACAGAGGAGGGGGAAGACAGGGCAGACGGCTCTGGCAGCCTTGGTTGTGTAGGGGCTGATCAGAGAGGGGACGGGGCTTCAGACAAGGTGTCACTTCTGGATGACTGACTGGAAAGTGACAGAAAGGACAGGATGGAGGCCCTGGTGGGGGATCCTCACTCTTGGATAACAGTGGCAGTGTCAGCCCAGGCCTGCAGGGCTTCGCGCACATTGCGGTTGCGACAGTGGTAGCCAGCCAGGTACATGTAGGGGTAAATGTGCTCGTCTTGGTAGTAGGTCTTGGCTGAGGCAATCCCCTGGAGGATGGAGCAGAGGAACCTCAGCAAGGCAGCCCCTGCTGCCTGGACTAGCACAAATGCCTCATCAGTAATATGCCACAAAAGGAGGGCCCTAAAGAGTCCTCCCTGGCTCCATTTCCTGCTGACCCCTCTACCTGGTGCTCCCCACTCCCTCCCACCTACCTCCATTCCAGGCCTAACCACTAAGGCAAGGGCAGACAACAGGAGTGGTGACCCCACAGAACAAGGCCCAGGAGGGCAGGGAGCACTCACCCTCAGACCTAGGGCAGGTCTCCTCCCCACGTGTTCCTCTACAAAGACTTCCAAGCCCAGCCACCCTCCTCCCACACTGAGCAGGCTGACATCTCTCCTGCAGCGCTACCACAAGCTACATGGCAGGGCAGCTGAAAAATGAGGGCTGGTGGGACAAAGACCCTGCCAACCCCAGGCTGGGGAACCCAGGGCATTTCTTAAACACACAATTACCCTCACTATACATGTGCCTGATACAACGTAGGGCAGAAAACACCCTCCAGCACACAAAGGTCTATGCTTTTCACCTATCTCCTCCCAGGCTCCAGAAAGGAGTTGCTGGTTTTTGAGATGCCCTCACCTTGTGATAGAGCGTGAGTGGGTCTGGCCGACCAGGGGTGGGCTCCAGCTCCTCCAGATCTGCCAAGTTCCCTAGTGCCATGGGGTACCTAGGAACAGATAATAGGCCAGGCTGTCACCCAGTCCTCTGGCTCCCCCCAGGTCTAATCTGACCATATCCCTCTACTGACCTTTCCAGATGTCCTAGGTCATACAGCAGCCAAAGCAGCTTCTAGAGCCCAAAGGAAAGAGGTGTGAGTGAGGAGAAGGGAGCCGCCTACCAGTAGAGTAGGATCCGGAGGCAGTAGTGTCCTTCCACCAGACAAGGCCAGAGTTCAAGATTCAGACCGTTCATGAAGCAAAACCCTTCATGTGCCAACCCTCCCCTCCCTGTGCACTGAGAAAGGCCGGTCCACTCTACAGAAGGGGGATTTACAGAAGGGGGGGGGAGCTAGTCTCCTCACCTGCTGCAGCTGTAGCAACTCCAAGGAATCCGTGTGAAGATCAATAGAAGGGTTGATGGCACACACCATGAATGCCACCTCCATCTTGCGGTCACAACGCATGTATGATCCTTTCAGGTACAGCCAGCTCTGGGGAAGACAAAAAAGAAGACATCTCAGGATGTCTCGCCCTGGGCCTGCTCTTGGGCATGACAACTTAAATCTACCTTCCCCCTTGATACATGCACAGAGACTGTTGATGGGGTGACAGGAGATGGCCGGGGGAGCAGAGTCCCTCAGATGACTTGGGCTAACAGAACAGGGAAAGGGAAAATACAATACCCGTTCAGCCACGCCAGCATTGACTGTTTGGCCCCTGCGATCTTCATTGCCTTTGCCATGCCAGGTGACCTCAGCTGTCTGCTCCCCATTGGGCCCAAACACCACCCAAGCATGATCCTCAGACAGGGCCAAATGGACATCTCGGAGACCCAGGGCCTGGCAGGCCCCCACCACTGCAAAGGCCACACCCGAGCTGTCCAGTTTAGTGCCTGTAGAGAAGGGGCAGTAATGAGAGCTTTGACCTGGAAGAAGGGAGCACCCCAACACCTCTCAAGTAGTCTGTGTCCAAACCTCACATGCAGGATCCTACCCATCACACTCCCCCTTCTCTTCTATGCTTACAACCTCTCCCTCCTGTTAACCCAACCCCAGCAGGAGACCTTCCTGGATCTCAGCTCCACCCAGCCAAAGCTGTTCCTCCCTTTTTCTACATGGCTACTTCTGTTAACAACGATTTAACCAGGTGTCTTACTGCATACTTATTAGACTATAACAGGGAGAACAAATCCATGACCTTACAAACACCCCCCCCCCCAACACACACCCCGGGCCCACGCCCTGACTTATATCCCTGCACTTTTTTTCTGCTAAGCTCAGAAATGGCCTCAGATTCTTGCTCAATACTGTGCACCAGAAGCTGAAGCATTTTGCAAGTCCTTAGCTTTTTTGGGCTCAAGTCTGTAATTTCCTTTCCAAATATTTTCATAGGCATCATCTCATTTAATTGTCTCAAATGTATCCATCCCTTTGTCCTACTTCCCCGCTCTGCTGCCACCCTTTTTCCCCATATG